ACCAAGTTAGCAACATACTTCGTTAATATTTCTGTCTGGATGTAACGCATTAAACAACCGGGCAGTAGCTCTTGCAACGATCCTATTTTGGTAATACAGTTTTTGTTATTTCTACCCTTCTTGAAATGAAATACAAAGTTTGTATATCATACGATGACACTGACTGATGCTAAATGTTCTTGCTGGTGTCCATGATTATTATTTTTGGCCGTACATTCGATTATTATCAGTATTAGGTTAGTCGACTTTTATTATAAACTCAAGTAGCTTCACAACGATTGAAGATAGGTATAAACTTTATTATACAAAAGTAACTGAAAACATCATGGATGATCTAAAAATTGAAAAAAAAAACGGTGGTTACCATTTAAGAATCTAAAGTGTAACGCAATATCGTATTTTTGGATCACCCTGTATTGTACGCCTATAGATGAAAAGACGTCCCCCTAGAAATCAAAATTAACGCGACCGGTTTTCTCAAAATATACCAGGCGAGTCAAATCGGGTTGCGACCTTTCCGTTGGACCACCCTGTATAAATACGCGCAACTGTCGCAGATTGTCGCAATGCCGGTTGCCTACAGTTATTCACCTCGGCTTTATGGGTTGTTATTCGACATAAAGTCGTAAAAGCATACAATTTTCTCACTATGTTACATTAGTCCAGGCCTCTCCAACTTGGTGCTGGTGCGCTCCGGTGCTGAACCCAGCGGCACCGGTGCCGTTCCCCCTCCACCTCGACCGCACAGCCGTCGCGGCTTAGAGAAACATATTAGCCGACTGTCTCTCGGGCGCGGGCCATTTCTTAATAGGACAAGACAGGTTTTTTAGCGTGTTAACGTGCATCTTTTTTTAAACGATGTCAGTCAATCCTTCATGGAATAAGCCTATTTTTTGTAAATACTGATGAAAAAGCAAAATGTTTAATTTGTCACACGGTATGAGGAAAGCCCTTCAAAGTTCTAAAGAGGTAACTTAACTATTAATTTGGTCGTAGTTGATTATTATTAATGGTGTCGTAATGCAAGTTATATTGTTGCTTTGAAAGTCGCATAAAGTAGGAGACCGTTTACTGACGATGCACTTGTCAAAGAATGCTTAGTGGAGTGTGTAGAAATATTGTGTCCATCTCCTGTAAGCAACTTTGAGACAATTAGTATGTCCGAGCAAACAATTTCTCGTCGGATACTTGAACTTGGATGAAAGTAAAGACATTTCTGACACAGCATAATTAGCTGTTTTCGTTAGAGGTGTCGAAATAGTCTTTACTATTACCGACGAACTACTAGACGTTACCCCGCTCAAAGATACAAGGGCCGGAGAAGATATTTTTGATGATGTAGAATACACAATGAACGACATAGGTATACTACTCAAAAGTTTGAGTAGTGTTGTTACTGATTGAGCGCCAGCAATGTTCTCGGAAGCACAAGGTTTTACTGGGCGAATGAAAATAAAAGTACGCGACGCTGGGCTACCTCCGATATCATCGGTACACTGCATATTGCATCAGGAACAACTACGTGCAAAAACCTTCCGTAATTTCAAATGGATTATGGATGTAGTAATAACATGTGTCAATTTCTGCAGAAAGCAAGGTCTCAACCACGGCAGTTTGAAGTATTTTTCAAAGACCTGGAAGCAAGTTACGGTGAGATACCCTTTTATTGTGGTACGCGCTGGTTAAGCTGCGCAAAAGTGCTAAAGATTTTTTTTTAGAAATCATTGACGACGTTGAGATGTTTATGCAAATAAGATTTTTACGTCACCATCTTCAGTGTTTTTCGAAGCAGAACCGCCGTAGTTCCAAATGGAGCTGATTAAGCTTCAATGCGATACGATCTTTAAGGATAGAACTACCACTACAATAGTAATTTAATTTTGTTTTATCAAGGTGTTAAACAGCAAGATTTTCCCAAAATTCTTGCGCTGGCCTTGAAAATTTGCTCCATGTTCGGTAGAACTTACTTCTGCGAGCAGATGTTTTCTTTAATGAATTTGAACAAAACTAAAAACAGGTCTTTGTCTGACGTGTCCTTATAGGCGATACTCAGAATTTCCACTGCTCAAGCCATTGACCAAATATTAGAAAACTTGTTGAATAGAAACGCTGTCAAAAGATCATCTTAAGAATAAATGTGTTTACGTCGAAATTATGAACATTATTTTATCACCCGCGCGTTGACTCGACCAGACCAATTCAAATGTCAATACGAATGTCACTCCACTCATTTTCCGTTGGGGCTGGGAGCCGGCGAAATTAAACCTTATCGTGGATTCGACTAAACTTAGTAATAATATGTAGTTTTTAAGTAAATGAACAAAAAGGGCTTGGTATGCCAAAAGTACCTGTCATATCGACTTGAAGATACAACGTGACGGTAGGATTTTACCATAACCTATACGTATATCAACGGTCATGACGTTTCATATTCATCTTACATATACTTTCAAACATCTAGTAGCCTGGTGTCAAACTGACAGACTCAAATGAGCTTTTAAATGCAAGCATGAAGCATACAAACAGGATGTATTATTTTTATCTATTTGCATTGCCTGCTATAGCTTTCAGTCGGTACGACAGAAACTTCTGGCGGAAATCGGTTTGTCATACCATGTTTTTCCAAATGAGCCTAAAATTTTCATCAAACCTTGTAGGCTTCATTGGATTCGGTTATGACGGTGAAATTCTCTTGTCACGCTGTATCTTTAAGTCGGTATGACATATACTTCTGAGCCCTTCTTGTTCATTTACTTAAAAACTACATATTATTACTAAATTTAGTCGAATCCGGAGACACCCTGCAGCACTGTGCAACCGTCAAAATGCTAAATAGATACGGCCAGTAAAGAAAAATCTTTCCGACATCGATGACTGTGTGATGACAACTGTTACATCTGTCAAATGCAAATGTTAAGCCCTTTCTTGGACGTTCCTCAAAGATTATTCCTTAAACGGCACTCCATTCTCAAGTAACGTTTATCAATGCGATCCTAAATTGTATATAACTAAATGTATAACTTTGTTCTCCATTGAGTTTCCCCATTTTCTGCTCTTATGCTCTTATGCTAACCAACATTCACATTCTAGGTGGAAGTGCTGAAACTAGACTACAAAAAGGACATGGAAGACAAAGACAAGCAATTCAAAGTACTACAACAAACGCTACAGGGCATGCAACAGCAGCTACTCGAAGCGAAAAAAAGACAATGCGAGGAAGAAGCTAGGGTGAAGGATTTGCAAAGCAAATTGTCAGGGGAGAAACCTCCAAGGAAGCATGATCGAAAAATATTGACCGACAAAGAGATTATCAACTTGGATGACAGCGAAAACGAGCAGTGTGACTCTGTCAGCGTGTCAGAGTGTCTTTCAGAGGCTGCAACGAGCACAACCTCGCAGAGACTGAACGAATGCGACGCCAAGTTGGTGGGCATAATATCAACTTTTCTGAACGTTCATCCTTTTGGGGCTGGTTTGGACTACATTTGGTCCTATGTAAGCAAAATAGAGCCGAATATACGACCTTCCGATATTGAATCTCTCATGATTCGGTTTCCATCCGTATTCAAGCAGGAGCTTGTGGGTATTGGAGCTAATATCGAGAGAAAGTGGATTTTTAATGCTTTCTGTAGTGCTCCGAATGGTAAAAGTTAGACTATGGAATTTCATTTTTTATTTAATGATTCAATATTCCGTTTTGAAATGTGATCTTCTGGAAAAGTTAATTGAAGTAAACGTATTTAGTAAGAGACTGATATTTTATTTCGATTATTCCAAGTTCTAAATTGCCTGCGTTTGCCCCACATTCAGTTCTTTGAATATAGTGGAGGAAATGGTGTACCTCAAGCTAAAGTGGTTTCATTCACTAATGTTTTCTGCTGTGCAGCGTTTCCACTTAAGCCGATGACATGAGGTTGAATTGTGGAAAACGATCCGTGGTAAGCATTGTGTTGTAATAAGCATCTGAATGGCTCACACCTCGCATTTTAGCAAATTTCTAAAAACTACTACATAAAGGGTGGATTGCACCAAGACTCTCAAATCAACAAGCCATTATTATCCACCTATAGGGTAACAATCCGTCAAATGTACTATAGCAAATGAGCTTTAAGATCCATTCGATAAATTTTAGCAACCAATAGCTGTGAAATGTTGTAAACAAAATATTGTCAAAGTACGAGATGGCAGCTTGTCATTGAAACTTCGCCAATATTAAGAACTTAAGTATAATTCAGTTAGAATTTTAAAAAATGTTGGATTTTGGAATAAGATTCATGTTATTTATACTATTATTGATTGTTTATTCATTTAACATCACACACCCTGGGTTTCTTCCCATAAACCTCTTGCAGATAGCCATTAAACGCCTAATTGATGACAAAGACTTTCTACAGAAAATTCCATAGATATTGCTTGTTTCCAATCATTCATTCATTTACTTCCCGTTTATCAGTACCATTATGGCAGCTTACATTGATATTCGTACAAAACCTTTAAGGATTTTTGATATCCATATACACAAAGTTGAATACTTTTCGTTGTTCGGGCAGTGTACACTATATTTACTAGCAAACCTAAAACCTGCAAAAGAAAAACTAAAATTTGCAATTTTTTTTTCACGGAGTACACATTCTAAGTTACATTATTATTTGAATTGAAAAAATAAACTAGGGATGCGCAAAAATAATCGGTTAATTGAATAGTGGAATTTTTCCTGAAATTGTTCCACAACACGCCACCAATACGGACGTGACCTCACTACGTAACCAGAATCTATTTCCACCTTTGCACAACGTCCAAGCTGCCCCTGTACTGGGCGAATACATTTATATCATGTCAGATAAATGTATGAAGTTATACAGGAAGGTGCAATGGCTGCAGACAGTGTGAATTAAAAAATAAATGAAGCAAAAAAGTAAAACTTGCATTAGTAATATATTGTAAACTCAAAAAAAAACATGCTTAGCCTGTATTTTGTGCTAATCAAGTCTTTTCCTTGCCTTTGTCCTTCGCTTTCTCCTTTTGCGGTGAAGGGTTGGGCAGTTCCGCTTGAACCGGTACCGGTTGCGGTTTCATTTCCGTGAATTGATCATGCTCTTCGTGTACTTCATCTGGTGGCGCTTCTTCTACAGGTTTCAACTTTGCCAGTTCTTGCTCAATCGCGGTGTAGAATTCTCGTTCAGCGCTCACTACAAAGCTGTCCTTTAAACGAAATTAACGGTTTAAGTAAAATAAGAATCATGTGCATTTTTCATATTGGTTGCGCACAAAACATTAATTGAATAATTTTGCTCTCCATTTGCTTATCGTCTTACGCCCCTATCACACGATCCGGTTCGCACTTGACGGCCTGATGCGGCGTTGGGCTATGGGAGTTGATGAGTCTTTCCACACAATATGCGGCGCGCGCTCTCCCCTACGCCGGACATGCGGCCTCTAAGCCGGACTACTCTGCGAAGGGCTATTGTTGTTATTGGGGCTTTCACACGGTCTGGCGGGCGCCGCACGCCTCCACCTCTAGTCCTGGATCTGCCACTGGAGAGGAAAGACGTACGTGTACTGCGGTATTGTTTTTTTTAAGTGTTGTGTTGTGCCTTTCCTCACTGTTCCGAAATGAATTGAATAAAACTTTGAAGGACCCAGAAGTATGTCGATTTTGAAGCAATGAGTGAATCCAAAACCGCCTATTTCCTATTCGTCGTCTCCATAGCAAGTACATGGCTAGCATCTTCTTCTTTCGCGCTGTGAATTTACATGCAATTTAGATCCGGTACAGTGGAGAATTTGTTACACCTATTCTATGGAGTTGATCAGGGAAACAGCCATGATTTAGCTTTAGTCTAGTTATGATCGACGAAAACTCCCTATTTGAATAAAATTGGTCTATATGAGGGACATCTCTTGGAAAATTAGGGTGCTTCCTCTAGAACGTTGCGTATTCGGTGATTCGCTTTTCAGCTTCCGTTGAGGTCGTGGTCCAGGGGTCTCTGTCGTTTTCCAGACTCTGGGATATAAGGCCCCAAGCACCCACTCATGGACTAGCACCCTTTTCCTTTTGTTGCGTAACTTAAGTTTAGTTATTTTGGGTTCTACGTCTTCCATTTTTTATGGGATTTTGACCTCAGCGAAACAGAAGAAAATCCTCGTCTTTTCTCCCCCAGTCAGTTGCATCGTTGCAGTTTTGCAAATTGGAAGCCATCCCCTTGAAAAAACCCTGACGTGAACAGGTTTTTTTTCTGTTACCATCATAATTTTTGGGACCGAGGCAAGCAGCCCCTGCCCAGTGTCGTGCCCACTACTGACTGCCTTTTTTTTCGTTCTTTTTGACCTGGGATACATCTCGGCTGCGCCTAGCCATAACTTAGAGAAGACCTACGCCCAGATAAGTGTAGTTTAGGCGTAAAACATATATGTAAAGCGTATACCATGGTAAACGCCAACTAATTTTATTTTGCGACAGTTTTTTTAATATCCTTTCTCGCACTCCAGTAGTGAAGCACATGCGTGTTTTATTCTTTTTAATCAATATATTGTGATCCATTTGATATCTTGTTCATTTGGCTCTGTGTGTACTGTTACTTAAATTTCGTCATCTCTGTTAGATTCTCCTTTTGTGTGGTGGTCAAGCAAAACAACTTCCGACTAACATCTCGGGGGGTTGTGGCTTAATCCGTCTTAAGTCACTGGCGCTCTTAACCCGCCCCTACTCTCCGCTTTATTGTGCTAGGGCCTAAATTTGCACGCCACTAGACAACTGTTTTGCTTGGACCAACCGTTAGGTAGCATTTATCATTTTGTTTTATTAATTAACAATATCTAAAATATATACAAGTATATAAAAAAATAATGTGGGTCTGAGATACCCCCCCAGCATGACCTCTAACGTTACCCGAATGGCACGTCACCAGTTAAGGGTTAATTTCTATGAATAAATCAGAGTAAACGGGGGGAACATTCGTTATAGTATTCAAGCAGCCTTGTCTACTTTTTCATTGCCCCTGACGCCAGCAGCCCTTTAACCCATACAAAGTTTATATGTGTTCTTTTGGCATTGCAAGTTACAAGCAATTTCCTAATGTTACATAGCAAAGCGTTATTATATGACTGTTACAATAATTTAGGTGTGGAATGTAGAAAGCACAACCAGTGCTCGCCTTACTTTTAGAGCCATTGGTATAAATGAGAGTCCGGTAATTAAGTTCTGCCAGTACGGTTGATAGGACGGTCCTATTATAGTCAGGCACTAAGATGATTGTTTCATTTAAAAATACTTCATATGTACAATTATATAACGGATAATTATCTGCCGGGTGAATATAACTCGATAGATTACTGGTAACAGCGAAAGCCTCAGCCAGCATAGGTGAACATTTCTTGGCCCAGAAGCTATTAGTATAGTCTTCTGTTGTTAATTCTGATATTTTGTCTAACAAAAATTTATTACATGACCTGTACTTTACAACTGTTCTCTGTGCAAAGTACCGCCGTTTCAGAGTAAGCGGAGGTTCCTTTGCTTCAGCTAAAACAACTGGACACGGTGACGATCTCATGACTCACATGCAAATTCTCAAGGCATGCAGCTGTACTCGATCAAGTTTTTGTAAATGGGACTTAGTTGCTGAACCGTATAGCACACATCTATAGTCCAACAAAGAACGTACATATGATTGGTAAAAACTTAGTGCTATTTTCTGTTCTGAACCCCATTTTTTCTTCGTGGTGCACTTAAATATGTTGATCCCTCTCTCGGAGTTGGATCTAACGAACTGAATATGCTTGCTCCATAAGAGTTTGGAATGCAGTACTATACCTAAGTATTTGTAATTCTGCACTACGGGAATGACAACGTCACCAACTTTGAGCTGACTAGGAAGCACGATCCTGTGCCTGGTAAAACACATTATCGCGGACTTATCAATGGACAGCTGGAGGTTCATCTCTAGCAACCAATTCTTTACCTTATCAATCGCTTTTTATATGGATTGATGACAATAATTATATGAATGGTGTTCTACATATGTACATATTATAAAATCCGCGTATTGGATAACTTGCACCTCCTTGTCGAGCCTGCCATGGAAGTCAGCTGTGTACAAATTTAATAATATAGGACTAAGTATTGAACCTTGCGGTAAACCGTTGTAAACCATCATAGGTCCAAGTAATTCATTTCTGTGATATGTTATGTAAATAGTTCTGTCCTTGAATAGCTCTATTATACTGGCTGTAGAATTCCTAGATATGCCTTTTGTATAAATTTTTCCATAAGAATTCCTAAGTCTACAGAATCATATGCACCCTTGAAATCCAGGAACCAGTAGAGAAACAAAATTACACGTCTAAAACTAACTGGGTCACGGCATCCAAAGTTCCACAATCACTTCTAAAACCGTACTGTGAGATCAGCACATGATCGGTATCAGCTTTTTGCTTTCGAGATTGAATTATAGCCAGCCTGGTCATGCGTTCAAAAGTTTTGACTAAACCTTATTTCACGAGTATCCATCACGTTTTGAGGTGAACAGCTGATCACAAAAGCGACATCTTTGTGTTAATTTGTAACGATGGCAATGATGAATTTCGGGACCGTATTCAGAACTGTTGTTCACATATCAGGATTATATTTTTAAGTGGACGGGAAATGTGACAATAAAATATACAAGAACAGATATAGAAAAGTTTAGCAGAAAATTATTATAGTACATCTGGGATTTATTGATTACATGGTATGGCAATAGAACAGGTTGCGTAGTCCTTTCCAGAATCTGTGAATTTACCTGTAAAAATAATATAGGCACGTGTTTCTGGTTTATTGTCCGTCATCAGTGTAACGTAATTCGTCAAACTAGTCGAATCAAAACTAATATTCACCCAAAATTACGAAAACGACCCACCACCATGCCATATTATTGTGAAACATCAAATGCATCATACCACTTAAATAGCAAAAGAAAAATAAAATATACTTCCTGGAATTTACCATTTCCTCGATACGTAATGATGGCATAGCATCAGTTTGCTGTTTTGGTATATCCTTATCAATATCTTACTCTCTTTGAAGAAAATTGTAAACTACGTTTGCGTTTCCTTTAGATTTTTGCAGAGTTTTTTTTATATCGAAGCAGCCGCGCAGGCAGAAGACGGAACACCGCGGCTGCTATGATGATCCCGAAGAAATTTTGTTAATACGATTCTTGAACTGCCTAAGGTTAGTAGAGTAGAAAAGCCTCCTCCTCAAGTAGATTGTTCCACAATCTCGACACCCTCGGTACAAAGGAGCGGTCGTATCGGCCAGTTCTGGATGTATGAAGTTCGACACGGTTAGGATGGGATGCCAAAGTCAGGCGGGTCTGTCTGGCAGGCACATCGCGCGGCGGCATCATGGAAGAGAGCTCTGAGGAGCAAAGCCCGTTGGTGTAGCGGTAGAAAAGATCTAGATCGCCGATGGCCCGACGGTGCGAAAGAGTCCCGAGACTGTCTGTTAGAGAAGAGTCATCGATCAGTCGGACCGCCCTCCTCTGGACAGCATCGAGCATGGATAATGTAGTCGGGGCGGCAGCACCCCAAACGTGTGAGCAATACTCGAGGTTAGGCCTTATCTGGGCCTTGTATAGAGTGACAAGGTCATGCGGAGAAAAGTACTTCTTAGCCCTAAACAAATAGCCTAGCTTTTTCCCAGCAGCTTCAGCTATTGACGAAATGTGTTCGTGCTAGATCAGGTCCTCGGTGATCTGGACATCGAACCCAAATGAGCGCTAGGACGCTTCTTGTTCGTCAAAGTACAGTACTGTGTTTTAGAAGCATTGAACTGTACAATATTGTTGCGTCCCCAAGTCTCTTGTCAGAGAGGAAGTCGTCGCTAGTCTTCTTTTTTCCATATCAGCGGCAGAGATCGGCTTGTTACTCGGAATTCCTCCATGTAGAGTGCTATCATCAGCTAAGCTGTGGACTGGGTTGATCGTGCAGGAAAGGAGAACCCGCCAATTACGACGGATATCTTGCGGCCAGAGATAAAGTCAGCTACTTATCTGCAAAGCTTTTCTGCCATAGGATGGAAGTTTGCTTAAGAGGGCAGCGTGCCACAGCTGATCGAACGCTTTCGTGATGTCAAGAGCAACGACATGAGCCTCACCATAAGACTGGATGACTTTACTCCACAATTGCGTGACGTAAGCTAGGAGGTCCCATGTGGATCGTTCGTG